AGGGTTTAGGGTTTAGGGTTTAGGGTGGTTTAGGGTTTAGGGTTTAGGGTTTAGGGTTTAGGGTTTAGGGTTCTCTACCAACCCAGGCTTGCTTCTTCTCCACCCATCTAGCCACGAAGTAGTGTTCATGGGGTTAGAGGGTTCGGGGTCGTGCGGTTTAGGGTTTAGGGTTTAGGGTTCAGGGTTTAGGTTTACCGTTTAGGGTTTAGGGTTTAGGGTTTAGGGTTTAGGGTTCAGGGTGCGAAAAGGGTTTGGGGACTGGTGGGCTGGCCGAACTTCTACGGCGAGGGGGCACCCTTACTGCACTACCTAACTAAGTTTAGGGGACGCCGGGCCTGAAGTTCGAAGTGGTTTAGGGGGCTAGGGTTTAGTAGGGTTTAGGGTTTAGGGTTCCCAAGCCAAGTCCCCTATACCACTACTTCAGTCTCGGGGGCCCTCGCTGCAGGGCTTCGGATGCAGTACGTACGAGCCTTCCCAGACCCTACAAGCCCACAAACCCTGTAATCCCTAGACGAACCCTAAAGGTTTGGGGTTCAGGGTTTAGGGTTCAGCCCCACAACCCCAAACCCTAAACCCTATGAACCCTAAACCCCCAAACCCTACCAAACCCCAAAAGGTGGCCAACCAAGGTGCGTGAACGGGCGGCGGGTGCTTGAGGACCTGGGCCTGCGTGGCGACGTTAATCTGGTTTAGGGTGCAGGGTTCAGGTTTGTTTTTAGGGTTGAGGGTTGAGGGTTTTCGTGAACAGGCTTGAGGGTTCCTGTCGCCCGGATCCATAGACCCTAAACCCTAACTTATTCTTGTTCAAACCCTCAACCCGAAACTCTAACCCCTATGCTTTAGTCCCTGACCCCCTGTATTTTCGCGGTTTTCAAGACCCTGAAACACACTCTTTGCGGGCTCATCCCCCCCCCCCCCCCCATCCGTTCCTGAGCCCTACAACTTCGCGTGAGGCTGCATGACTCATATTCTCTGATTCCTATACATCCGGTGGTACCTGCCAAGCAAGTTTTTTGTTCATCCATCGTCCCTAGATTTACGCTCTAAACCCCTTAAGCCCTACACCCTAACCCTAAACTCCAGGCACTCTAAATCTCAACCCTCTCGAAGGCTCGAGAGCCTCTTTCTAAGGCTCCTGGCTTGCAGCGGCTCTATGAAGACCTAAGCCCTGTAGGGTTTAGGGTTTAGGGTTTAGGGTTAGGGAAGTGTCGGATCCATCGAAAAAAAGAACATACTCCGAACTCATCTAGAACCCGGACAAAGCTCCGGAACCCTGAGCCTAAAACCCTAAACCCTACAGAACCCCCCAAAAGCCCGAACCCTAAACCCTAAACCCGCAACCCCAGAAACCTAAACTCCAAAAAAAAGCAAACCTTAAACACCCAACCCCTAAGCTCTAAACCCTAAACCCTAAACCCTAAACCCTAAACCCTAAACCCTAAACCCTAAACCCGTAGGAAGCCTGGAGCCCAACCGGCCTGGGGCTGCCGCGCCGTTACGCGCAACGCGCCGCAGCTGGCCACGGTGCTGCTCCTTGCCCGTGGACTTCGGGGTTTAGGGTTTAGGGTTTAGGGCTTAGGGCTTAGGGCTTAGGGTTTAGCGATTAGGGATTAGGGTTTCGGTTTTGGGGCATTTTTGTTGGCGCCTGCAGGGTTTAGGGTTTAGGCGCTTAGAAGGTTAATAAGAGTTGCAGGGTAGGGCTTGTAGGCATTAGAGGGTTTTGTAAGGTTTAAAGGGTAGGGTTGAGTCCCACTTATACTAGCATTCCTTCATAGGGATTACAATATATCGGGGGCTATAATCCCTAATAAAGACTGTGAGTATGCAGGGGAGCATCCCAAGGACAGGGCTTAAAGTTCGTTGAGGTTTCTTTCTTCCTGCACCGTAGGGAAAGCAAGCATCGGCTGAAGGGTTTAGAGGCTTCGGGGCTGGGTTTAGTGTTTAGGGTTTAGGGTTTAGGGTGTAGGGTTTAGGGTTTAGGGTTTAGGGTGTTGCCGGCTCTCAACATGGGCAGCATTTCTAGGGTTTTTGTTGCCTTGGACCCTTATGGTTGTACCCTTGGGTTCTGGCGACCCTGTTTAAGGATCCTTAGGGGAATATAAGGGGCCGTATTTGGAGTCAGGTTTGTAGGACGGAGCACAGGTTCTGTGCAACACCGACAGCCCAAAGTAAGTCGCAAACGGACCCAATCCAAACTCCATCTCGTTGTACTTGTCGGGCAACCTCACCCCCCAGATTCCCAGATCGTCCCTTTTCCTGCGAGGGGGCGTGCTTGTGTTGCATTTGGGCCTGGCTCAGTTAGCCGCTCTGACACACGAACCAATCTGAATGAATCCTAACCCTAAACCCTAAACCCTAAACCCTAAACCCTAAACCCTTAACCCTTAACCCTAAACCATCCAAGGCCGCGCCACCAGGCCTTCTTATCCTGTATTCAACCTGATACAGAGCCTTTTAATTGAGGGGTATGAATGCTATCATCGCCATCCTGGAGCTAAGCTAGGATGACCCTTAAAACCCCCTGAACAAATCTTCCTCAATATGGTCCTCTTAAACCTAATAACTGAATATTTGAAGCATCCCAAGGACCTAACCTAAGTTCTTCACTTGGAAAACACTGAGCGGAGCGACAAATGACATTGCGAATTCCTGCACGCTGAGTTCGGCGTGCGATGAGGTGGTTGCGCATCGATGCGGTTTAGGGTTTAGGGCCAGGGTTTAGGGTTTATAGGGTTTAGGGTTTAGGGTTCAGGGCATTTGACACTTCCAGGGTTGCGGAAGGCGTGACTTTGGGTTTCGGAGGGCAGTGCTTTCGGACTGTCAAGTTTCACCAACCAATTCAAGGACGGCGCTTGCAACCCTCTGAAATCTGAAAAAAAGTAGTCCTACATATATGATCCTCTTGAACCCAACAAGGGAAAATGCGCAATATCCCACAAGGGCCTACCCAGTGTGGAGTTCCTGGGTTTTGGGTTTGGGGTTAAGGTTTATGATCGTTGACGTGCGCAACCAAGAGGTGAAACTCTGCTTTTGCGCCCACCCGGAACTGGCATCTCGTGATGGGTGGAGGGCGCTGGGGAGGCTCGGGGCTATAGGGTAAACCCTAAACCCTAAACCCTAAACCCTAAACCCTAAACCCTAAACCCTAAACCCTAAACCCTACCTAAACCCTAGAACAACTTCGGACTCTCAGGGTTTTCAGGGCTCGGCTTGACTGAGGCCTTTCGACCGATGTTCCAAGCCGCCAGGAAATAACCCGGGAGTAACCTAGGAATAAAAAGGGGTGCCCCTTTTTGCTTTGAAGGGGTAAGGGCACCCCAACCCTAAAAAAGGAAATAAGGGCCTACTTCGGGTCCTAGCTGTGAACACTGACAGCTCCCAAACCTTACAAACCCTGAACTCGAAACCCTAAACCCTAAACCCTAAACCCTAAAAATCTAAACCCTGTGAACCCTAAAGCCCTATGAACCCTAAACCCTATGAGCCCTCAACCCTAAACGCACTTGGGTGCGCCCTTCAGGTTTGAGGGGTTAGGAGTGTCAAGGGACTAAAGCGACTAAAGGAGGGCACCCTTACAAGCGATTTGGGGGGCTATTTGGGCTTAGGGCTTGGGGTTTAGGGTTTGGGGTTTAGGGTTTAGGGTTTAGGGTAGGTACGGGTCATATAGGGGAATAAGATTAAGCGTCCCTTCTCGGGGTCCCTCCTTATGCCCCTTCCGAGTGTGGGGTCAGAGACGCCAGCGCCAGACTCTTTGCCAGCTTGCTGAGCTCTCTTGGCCCAATGCGACTAGGGTACAAGCGGGGGGCTGAGGTTTGGGGTTTCGGGTTTCGGGTTTAGATGCTAAACCCCAACCCTAAACCCCAAACCCTAAACCCTAAACCCCAAACCCTAAACCCTAAACCCCTAAACCGCCCTCAGTTCTTCTTCAGGAAGCCGAAGAACTGCTCTAAGAAGCGCTCCTCGGTCGATGCGGGCTGGGTGCTGAGGGCTTATTTAGGGTTTGGGGGTTTAGGGTTTAGGGGTTTAGGGTTTAGTTTAGGGTTTAGGGTTTAGGGTTTAGGGTTTAGGGGTTTAGGGGTTTAGGGGTTTAGGGTTTAGGGTTTAGGGTTTAGGGTTTAGGGTTTAGGGTTTAGGGTTTAGGGTTTTAGGGGTTTAGGGTTTAGGGGTTTAGGGGTTTAGGGGTTTAGGGGTTTAGGGGTTTAGGGGTTTAGGGGTTTAGGGGTTTAGGGGTTTAGGGGTTTAGGGGTTGAGGGCTCACAGGGTTGAGGGTTCAGGGTGTTTAGGTTTAGGGTTTGGGGGTTTAGGGCTTTAGGGTTTAGCAGGTTAAGGGGTTTGGGGGTGTAGGGGTTGGGGGGTTTAGCGGTTTAAATTTAGGGGTTTAACGTTTTAGGGCTAGGGGTGAGGGCTTCTCGTGTGGGTCTTGGGCTGAGGGCTGCGGCGCTCAGCGCACAAGGCAAGATAAGGCAACCATCTTAAGGCCCACCCTGCACGAAAATACCAGCAGATGGAGGAAACGAGATCGATCACAAGATGTTTACGAACCGGACATCACTAGACTGGCAGGTTTGAGTCATATAGGGGCCTTAGGAATTAGAACAGGGTTGCGGGGTCATTTTAGTCGAATATTATATTAAGGATACTACTAGTAAAGTAATTCCGACCCCGTGTTTAGAGGGTTTAGGGTCCAGTGGCGCTCCTTAAATCGTGAGCCCGAAGTGTATCCTCACTCCCAAAGCGCTGCGGTGAGCTGGAAGCCACTTAACTTGCTCTAGGCCAAACCCCAAACCCTAAACCCTAAACCCTAAACCCTAAACCCTAGACCCCACACCCCAAACCCTGCCGCTTATTTGCAGACTCTGAACCCCAATGTAAAAGAAGGAGGGTCGGAATGAATTACGAAGAGTGTTCCCTTATGGTCCCTTTATACTCTACCGACCCCTCAAAAACCTGTTCTAATTATTAAGGCCCTCGTTTTTTCCATCGTTTGTATACTTGGAGCCCTAGGCGAAGGAAGCGCCGAGGGTCAATGTTAATTTGGCCCTCCGCCGACACTTCAGCAGACACCAGCCACTCGTCAACCTTGCGGAGGCTTGGGTGTGAGAACCAAGAGAGCAGTAGTAGGCCTTCTCCGGTCCGTAATATTGTTAAGAAAAGTGCAGGACCAGGGGCAAGGCTTGTGGTTAGAGTAGGGGTTTTGGCACTGCAGGGCATGGTCGCGGCATGGTGCTTTGAAGGTAGTTCATTGGGATGTCCCCCTTATACTAACAGTCCTGAATAGGGATTGTAGTACACCATGATCCCTCCCTGTTCAGGACTAGTAGTATAGAGGCTTATAGAGGGGACCATCGCAAGTAGTTCATTTAGTGTACCCAAGGGCAAGTGGGCAGTCCTGGGGCCCGCCTCCTCCGCTGTCAAGACGTCCCCCATGCGTGTGAGCACGTGCTTCAGCTCCTGGCGCGCCCTAAACCTTGAACCTTAACCCCCTTCAACTAGGGGCTCAAAAATCAAACATAATCATAAGGATTCTACAAACATGGTTTTCCACAATCCATCTTAAACGGGCCAATATACGCTTATAGTAGGATCCAGAGGTGCTTGTGGTTTTGGGGCCCACTAATCAACCCCAAACACTTCGATTTGGCAGGGGCGGCGTTTTCAACCTTTAGCCAGAAACCAGAAACCCACGTGTCGAGAGTCACTCGCAACTCGCGTCCTTCACGCTGACGTGGCCGTCCCCTTGTCTGTCGAAGACCTTGAGCGCGTCCTTGGAGAAAAAGTGTTTGCAGGATCACCTCCCTGTGTTAGGGCTTAGGGTTTAGGGTTTGGGGTTTGGGGTTTGGGAGTTAGGGTTTAGGGTTTAGGGTGGGACCTAAACCCTAAATCCTAAAGGATGCTGGGAGTCTCTGCGAGGGCCAAGCGAAATAATACGGGGGTTCTTTTCATGGGGCTTGGCGGGTTGTAGGGCTTGAGGGCTTGTAGGGTTTAGAGAGGGTGGGAAATAGGGTTTTGGGGCTTGAGGTCTTTTAGCGCTTTTGAATCGGTTCAGTGAAAGCGGGCTTTTGGGTTCTGGACCCTGCATATCCCGTCTAAATCATGTGCTCAAGATTTCGGGTGCGCGCTACTTGAAGACAGCTGCTGGCAAGTGGCGCTCAGCTCTTCGTAGGGATCTCTGCCGACCATCTTGCTCATGAGGTTGAGGAACTCCTGACAAGATTCGGCCACCTAGCCTCATCCCTGCAAACTCCAAATAAGCCCCCATAAACCACTTTTTGAAGCGTGGACTAGAGACAGCCCCAGCATCTGAAGAGGAAAGCCCGGGGCCACTGGTGATGTACCGGGTTGCAAGTTTTTAGGATTTATATACCCCCTGGTTCGCATTAGGGAATGAGGGAATTCGGGCCCCATATTTACCCTTCAAGGGATAAATATAGGCCCTACTTCCCTCCATTGCCTACTTAATGAGAACCGGCCAGTTTAGGTCTTCGACTCTCCTGGCATGGAGGATTTTTGGGAAAATTTAGGGGGGCTTGCTAAACCCATTTGCAGCAGGCTTGCAGAATGTCCTCGCCAACCCTAAACCCCAAACCCCAAACCCCAAACGACCAGCCTAAACCCTAAACCCTAAACCCTGAATCCTAAACCCTAAACCCTCAGAAAAAGCCCGTCCTGAAAGTCGAGCTCGCCTGGGGTGGCTCAGGGTGGTCCGGGGTCTAGGGTTTAGGGTGTAAGGGGTTTCGGGTTTAGGGTTTAGGGTTTAGGGTGTAGGGGTTCAATGGTTTCGGGTTTATTGGGGTTTTATGGTTTTCGGGTTTTAGTGTTTAAATGTTAGGTTTAGGGTTCAGGGTTTAGGGTTTACGGGGTATAGAAAGGTTGAGGGATGTGCTTACTTGGCCGGCGGGCGACAAAGGGACGTCGTGGGCTCCTCGCAACCTCACGTACCCTGAGCCCTAGACCCGAAGCACTTCACTCAATTGAGTTTCTAAACCTTAGCCTTAACCCTGAACCAACACTCTTTCAACCCACCTCCAGAAACTACGTCCGAATCTCCACCTTCCGGATCCACAGTTCCCAAGGGCCCCTCACTTGACATTCTTCTGCAACGGCCAGCAAAGAAGAAACAACCAAACAAACAACACCTAAACCACCCTCAAAAACCCTCAACTGTACAAGCTCTCAACCGCAGGCAGAAAACTCGCGCGCGCGCGCGTGCAAACACACACACACACACACAGAACCACCCTGTAAACCTCGACACATGCAACCACTCTCCGTAAAGGCTAGGGTTTAGGGTTGAGGGTTTAAGGTTCGGGCAACGGCTTAGCTCAGTTCGGTTCCACTGTTCGGCGCGGAGGGAAGATACTTAAGACTGAAGACCCTAGTTTAGGGTTTAGGGTTTAGGGAATGACCCACTTGCAACGATGGCCTCTACCAACCCTTATTGAGGACTATAGCCTTTAGTTAACACAAAATCAAAAGGCCCCAGTCCTAAACTCACTCAGC